AAGTTTGGTGTATTGGCCAAATCATTTGCAAGCATCTTGCCTTCAGGCTGCCATACATAAAGTCACGCTTTTAAAAGTAACTGAAAGCAGCTGAAAATAAGAATTTTTTGGTAATTGTCTTATTTACAATAATGTTTTTTGTTTTATTTACAGTATTGTCTCTGTTTTTTATCTAAACAGCTATGTTTGACTCAAATATAGTAAATGTTGATTGTTTAGTATGGTTTCATCTCTTTTTTATACTTTTTTTTTATTTGCATTCACTCCCAACAAGGCTGCAAGCAACCACTATTAAGTTGGGAGTTACTAGGAAAAAAAAAGAACAGAGTTATAGAGCAAGGAAACTGTTGACAGAAGACTTGAAAAGTTGAAGGTTGTATGAGTCAGGAAAACATGAAGATGGGAGAGAGTTCCAAAGGATTGAAGTGCGGGGAAAAAAACTAGATGAATAAAAGTTTTTAGAGCATGCAGGGACAGATACAGTAAACGAGTGAGACTTAGCTGAATGACGAGTAAAACGAGAATGAATTTTAGTTGATGGAACTAGAGATGATAACTCCTTTGAGCAGTGACCATGATAGTATTTGTAGAAAAGAGAAAGAGATGCAACTTTACGACGATGGGAAAGAGGTTCAAGCTTAGCAGATAGTCCAGGTCCAACAACATTTACAATGCGTTTTTGGACCTTGTCAAGAAGAGAAAGTGAATCGTTAGAAGAACCAGCCCAAATATGACAACAGTATTTCATACAGGGACGATTAAGAGATTTGTAGAGGTAGAGAATGAAATCAGAAGTAAGGAAATGGCGACCACGATAAAGAGAACTAACCTTAGCAGAAGCTAATTTAGCAATCGATTGTATATATGGTTTCCATGAAAGGTCAGTAGTAAGCGATAATCCAAGAAGACGTAAAGAGGAGGACTCAGTAAGAGGATTGCCATTCATTAATATAGAAATGTTGACCTTATTACGGTAGTTGTTTGCAGTAAGCAATTGGGTTTTTTTAGAGTTGAAATTCACAAGCCATTGTGAACCCCAATCTATTACTGAAGTGAGATCAGATTCAAGATCAGCTGCTTGTTCTAGGCGATCGAAAAGAGAAGACTTTTTGTCAAGACAGGAGTATAAAGTTGAGTCATCAGCAAAAAGAGCTACTTTAGATGAAAGGTTGTCAGGAAGATCGTTTATGTAGATAAGAAACAAAACAGGGCCCAGGATGGAACCTTGGGGAACCCCAGAAGTTACTGGAAATAAAGAA